GGATCTTCGCGCAAGGTTGAGAAGCTCTCTCTTCCTCTTCCTCCTTCTCTCTCTTATCTATCTTTGCCTTCCCCTGTCACCGAAGCTCATGTCAGAAACTGGAGATTGCTGTGGAGATCTTACTCGTTGGACTGACGGATTGGAGCTCCCACTCGCCGGACTGACGGATCGGAGCTCGCACTCGTCGTGGAACTCGGGAACATCATTCCTCTGCTGCTTCGCCAAAAGCTTTCAGATCCCTTTTGCAATAGATCGCTGACGGGAGCTGGTCTAGTTGACATGTTCCTTGCGAAATTCCCTCGACTGCAGCTAAAATCTAGACGAGATCTAGCGGTTTCGTGGACAACGGCGACGAAGACGAAGTAGTTTGCATCGACATTTGGACGGAGTTCGTCTAGAGAAGTAGCTCGCAATGGAGGCGACTGCGAGCTTCGAGTACGAGGGGAGAGAGAGAGAGAGAGCAAAGAGAGAGAAAGGGAGAGAGGGAGGGGGAGACAGAGAAAGGGAGAGCGAGATCGAGGAAGAAAGTGAGGAAGAGGAAGAGACAAGGAAAAAGATGGAGAAAAAGAAATGGAAAAAAAAAAAAAATCAATGGCATCAAAAATTTTTAATAGCATAAATAATAGGATTGTTGAAAAGAGTGGTTATTCTTGTATTTTGCTCAACAGATGTACATATTTATATAAACATAATAGTTACATGAATCTAGCGAAATTAAAAAAAAAAAAAAAGCCAAAGAAAAGAAAAGAAAGAAAAATATGATTACATGATGTGTATAGATAAAATCACCGTTTCTTCTTTTCTCTTCAAATTCTGTTTCTTTAATTACCTCATCCTCCACCTCCACCTCCACCTCCACAGCCACCACCACCACATCCACCACCTCCACCACAGCCAGCTCCACCTCCACCTCCACCACCACCGCGACGCTTACGGGTGCCATGTCCGTGACCAATACAAGCAAATATCACAAATGATATGATCGAAAAGGACATGAAAATCATGCAGAGAAAGGAAATTATGTCCCCAGAACTTTGCAGATATAAAGGATCTGCATGGTTATCAGCTATGGAAGCAGCAATTTCTCTGACCATTTTTTTTTTCTCTATTAATTAATGCTATGTAGTCGGGCAGAGATATACTAGAGAATTGTTGCTATTTAATTAACTAATAACGATTCCTATATAAGATTAGGTACGATATTTTCTCCAATTAGGAACTGCATGGTGCCGTACGATGTAAGGAACACTACTTATAAGTAAGGATAAAAATGTCAATGTCGACATGATTGTTGAGGTTTTGATTTAGAGATAATGTTGACAGAAATGTTGATATTGACGGATATTTTTTTAAAAAAATAGATATTTTGAAAAAACTCAAAATTTTTTGTTGAAAGTATACAAAATGCTAAAACAAGCAATATTATTTCATTTAATCAATTTAATAACATAAATAATACATTTTTTTTATCAGATTATGAGTGTTATGTTGCATCACATAATAGAAAATCATCATAAATATATATGGAGTCTGATTCCAATATAATTTTACATACTCAGGTATAAGAGTATAATATAGCACAAAAAAAAAACTGCCAAACATAATAAAGCAGTACAATCTTGAAGTGTTTTTAATATCAAAACAAGTTTTTAGCTAGTTAAAAAGCATAATATAAGTTCTGATCTTGATGTAAACAATATATTTATAAAGATATTACCTTTAAATGCTCTGAAGGTATTTGTTAATGTGCCACATATATTTTTTTTATTCCTTCCCACTATTAACTCATAAATTGGATATTGTTGGTTTATCCAACTTGATGAAGAGTCTCCATAGATGTGTAATATATCAAAGAAACCATCTTGATATTCTACTTTTGAATTAGACTCTATTTGAGAACAATATAGATGATTATAACCATATGAACTTTGCTCAGTTCTTACTTTCTATGAAATCAAAACTTAAGGCCATAAAATCCTCATCAATTTGACTCATATGAGTCACACTACATTTTCTTATATGTTATTTTCTACCATATATTCAGTGTCATATTTTATTAAAATTAATAAAAAAATGTGCTGCAAAATTAAATTTTTATGTGAAAGTTAAAATTTTCCCGGCGTGTTTAGACATTCTATGGATATATCTAAAAATATCACAGCTATTTATGAATATTCACTGATATTGTTGATACTTTTGGATATTATGGACATTTTAAGATACTCTGAGAATAATATATTTATCTCTTGTTATCCATGTTAAGACTTCAAAATATGAACAATATTGTGAAAATATTGACAATGTTGCGGATATTTTCATCCTTGCCTATAAGTTAGATATGAGAGTACTTGTCTAAAGTCTAATACACATTAATTAATAAGGATTAATCAAAGACTTGCCAACAGTCTACGATATTTGAGTGGAATTTTCTTGCAGGAATAATATTTACATAAACCTCCCTTTCTACAATTTTAAAAAACCTTTGGATAATGTCACGATAAAGGTAGAAAATGAGTGAAATATAAAATTTGAAAGCTATTTTAACTAAAATTTGAAGAGTTATGCTCTTAATTATTTGTCACTTGCCAAAAGTCTACTCATTCATTACTAATTAACAATTCATGAGAGACAACGACATCTTGTCTTATTCCGAGGAAGAACTCTGGTGCTATATGTAATGAATACTAGAAAATTAAGCTTAATTGTAATTGAGTAGAATTTTCTTAGGGGAATAATTTTTTTAAAAAATTTATCCCATTTTATTTGTTTTTTTTTTTTCGAATTATCTTTTCTCTTTTAAAATTACAAATTGCTATCTCACAAAATAGTAGGCCCCGGGTGGCTCCCATCATGTGGATCTCACCATTCGTGAGAGCTTATGAAAAGCTTATGAAGAGCTTTATTTACATTTTTAACTTTTTATTTATAAACAATTAATTAAATATCTCATCAATATCTCTTTATTACATTACATCTTATAATAATAAGTGTTTTTAATTTTTTTATTTAAATAAGTTCAAAAGCTCTTCTTAGATATAAAAGCACTTTTTCAGGCTATATTCAAACACTAATTAAAACGCCGTAACTTATCAAAATCTTCTTCTACTTAAAAGTACAAGCATAAGCTATCCTAAATAAGCCTATAGGTTCGTTCGTTTCGCTTGTTTGAGTTGACAATTTAAGTTAAAAAGTTAATTCTTGTGAGAGAAATCAATATAGCAGAAAAATTAGTTGAATTTAGATTTTTGTAAGAGAAAATACTGTAGCAAAAATTTGAGTTGTGATTTGAACTAGCGAAACGAATAAAAAAGTTTATTGTGAACCATCATATTTATATTAAAATTCATTTATTTCGTATATTTTTTTTTATTATTTTGATGTAATTCTGATAAGATCTGACATTAACAGAGTTCGTAGAAGAAGCTTTTTATTTTTATGAGAAATCATCTCCACCAGCAAATATTAATGGATAACATCTTGATGGCTTAAGAATGGCATACGTTTTAGCTTTTACTTATTTGCTGGTTTATTTGGCGTCTGTGGAAATATATTTGCTACTTCTGGAGGTTTCCTATCTAGTGCAAATTGTAAACGCTACAGGGGCAGAGTTTTATAAAATGGCTTAACCCTAGTTTTCATTGATAAGAGAGGTTTCCTATCTAGTGCTCAACTGTAAATGCCACACAAGCAGAGGTTGAGAAATTGGTCTTTGCCTGGTCTTTACCTGTGAGCTTGTGGTAAGTATATTGAAATTTTCCATTATTATTATATATATTCCAGCGTTCTTCGATTGTCATATTTCATTTTATCCGTAATGTTGTTTATGCGTTTATTAATTTGATCAAATCAATGGTTACTTGACGAGGGAAAAGTAAAAGACTCATATGATTTATTCCTTATGGTTACAAGTTACAACAGTTCTGCAAAACATATCAATATATGTATAATCAGAGAAAAGAAAATCATATCTATATATTTATATAAATAATTACACGCCTCTAGAGCAAAACAAATACATATATGTGTAAATATATAATTACATGCGTGTCAGCCTCCACAGCCTCCACAGCCTCCACCAATGTCCCTGCCGTGGCGGTACTTACGAGAGCGACGCGTCCACCTTGATCGGTACAAGCAAATATCACAAATGATTTGACCGAAAGGTACATGAAAATTATGCAGAGCAAGAGTATTATGCCCCCAGATCCTTCCAGATGTAAAGGATCAAAGACCGGCTGTCGGCGATCGGCGTCGGTTACCAATGATTGTCTCCCATTGTCATCTAGTAATTTCCTAGTGGTAATCTTATAGATTACCTTTTTGACTATTGAGGGCATTTTTGGTAATCTACTTATTGAATTTTGATTAGTTTTAATTTAAAATAATCTTGACAAATATCAGGAATCTAAATTTTTATCCTTTAATTTTGATTTATAATTTTTTTAGTTAAATAATTATATTAATAAAATGATATTTATTAAGAATAAAAAATAAATGTCTAAATTGAGAAATAAATTCTCTTTTTTTTTCTTTAATTTTCTATAATAAAAATTTATGAGCTAATGTTGATGGGTTAAACATGCAGTAGTAGTAAGCCCAAAAAATAGAAAACACTCTTAAAAATAAATACAAAAAAGGAAAATAGTAAGAAATAGGTCAATATGAAAAGTTTAAGAAAGTATATAGGTTAACTTTTAATTATAGAAATTAATAGACCATAATTTATCAAGTTATGGTTTATAATCAGATAAATTATGGATAAACTTGTCAAGTTATGGTTCATAACCAGACAAGTTATGGACAAAAATCGAGAATAATTTGTCAAGTTATGGTTCATAACCATACAAGTTATGGACGAAAACAATAATTTAACCTATTTATTAACTTATATAAACTATTAGCCTATTAATTTTAATTCATCTCAAAATCTATTTTCGTCTTTCTCAACAAAAAAAAAAAAAAAAAAAAAAAAACAACTAGAAAACCCTAAAAACAACGCCCAGCTCGATGTATAAAATGGCGGCGTGGAGTGACCAGTCTCTCTGCTAGTTCTACTAGCTTCGACGAAACCAAGGCATTCTTTTGATATTTGATTCCTCTGTTTCGTTCGTTTTTGTTGCATTTCCAATCGGTTATTCGACGATTTAATCTCAAGTCTTTGACTTTAAGCTTGAGGTATTAGCTTGATGTTTTTTGCTTTACTTATTTCATTTCATTACATTTAGTAAACACTCACAAATTTTCTGTGTTTCTTTAACAGAATTAATTTTTGTAATAAAATGAGAAAAAATATAGATTTTCGGGGAAATTAGACTTAAATGGCGGTTTCGTATATTCACTGTGTGCAATATTCATGGAAAGTCTCTTCAAGAGGTCGCGTTTCTGTTTCCAGCTCTGTCTATGGCGGAAACCACTTGAAGAATAGAAGCGCTTGCGTTGTTTTTGCTTCGAATAACAAGATCGACAAGGTTGTTTTCTCTTGAATCCATGATTTTTCTAATGGGCTAGCGTAAATTTTTACATTCATTATACTATGTGCGTTTGTTTTCTGATTTGATATGGGGTTTTCTCTGTAAAAGTTTGCTTCTTTTTTATTTTCCCCTTTTAAATGACCCAGACATTAGTCAAATTTCTACTCAGATTATTATTATGGTAGGAGTTGTTACATGTCTGGAAAATAAAAGATAGAGAATAAGATTTGATGGGTGGGTTTCCATATGTCAGATTGATATCTCTTGAAGGTGTCCATCGTTGCCCGTTAATGTCAATCTGTTATTAATCGAGCTACATCTGGACTTCACATGTATCTTTCCCATAAGGAAAAAAAAAAAACTGTGAAATGTGTATAGCAGTTTATAATTGCTTGTATGTATCTTATTTTGTGGTAAATTGCATAGTTGAAGAGGATCCACATATGGTTTTTTGACATTTTCATTAACTGTCAAAAACTACGATACTGGTCACAAAATGTTTTCGTTTTCTTTTAGGCAAATTGTTCTTAGGCATGTGAAATAAGATAATATAGGAATACGCAATGCATTGCTGATCTTGAAATAACAAAGCTCTATAGTATTGATATTGCCTCTAGAATGTTGGCTGTTGTATAAATTATAATCATGTGCTTGTTTTGACCAGACATAGTCAAGTGTCTGCCAAAGTCTTCTATGGTAGAGATTGTTACATGTCTGGAAAATCAAAGAGAGAGAAGGAGATTTGATGGATGGGTTTCCCATCACTCTTATGTACATCAGGCGAAGGTGTTCATCGTTGCCCGATAATATTGTTACTATCGAGCTACATCTGGACTCCACATTCTTATCCCAAACCTCAGAGAAATAAATATTGCCTCTAGAATGCTGGCTGTTGTATAAATTATAATCATGTGCTTGTTTTGACCAGACATAGTCAAGTGTCTGCCAAAGTCTTCTATGGTAGGGACTGTTACATGTCTGGAAAATCAAAGAGAGAGAAGGAGATTTGATGGATGGGTTTCCCATCACTCTTATGTACATCTCTTGAATGTGTTCATCGTTGCCCGATAATATTGTTACTATCGAGCTACATCTGGACTCCACATTCTTATCCCCAACCTCAGAAAAATAAATAAGTAAAGGGAAACATGTGCAGTTTGTGTGGGCTAATGGCCCTGTGTATAGACAATTTTCAGATGTTTTTATATGTTCATTGTGCACAAATGGGTTTTGCTGGAACTTATAGGGCCTGTCCTGCATCTAGAAATGAAAAAAGCAATGGAAAACTTTGAATCAACGTTCTATAATTTGTAATTTGATTCTGTTTCTAGTCATTGTTATTGTCCAATCCTTTCCTTTAAATATTTTTGGATATATTGGTCAATTTTCTTGTGTTGGTGGGTCCATGTGATCCGGTTACTTCCTCTGTCTGGAACCATATTAGGTTATGCAGTGATAGAACATAACCCTGTATCTCATGCAACCATCTTTCTCTCTCTCTCATCCTCTTATTATTATTGCTTCTCTTTTAAGGATATATCTTTTGAATATGCCAATAAATGCGTCCATAATATTATCAGAATCATTTCAGGTTGAGACACTGTTAGACAGTGTAAAATGGGATGACAAAGGTCTAGCAGTGGCGATAGCGCAGAATGTTGACACTGGTGCCATATTAATGCAAGGCTTTGTGAACAGGGATGCAGTGGCTAAAACCATTTCCTCCCGAAAGGCAACGTTCTACAGTCGCTCACGGTCAACGTTGTGGACAAAGGGAGAGACCTCAATGAATTTCATTAACATTCACGACATATTCATTGATTGTGACCGGGACTCTGTATGTTCTTTTGATGTTCTCATCTGTGATATTGTTTTGTTGTTGTTTCATTTCATGTGCTTAAAATCAGTATATGTTGCCCGTTTTCTACCCGGCATTAACTCATAACTCTTTTCTCAGATAATATACCTCGGGAAGCCTGATGGTCCTACTTGCCATACGGGGGCTGAAACTTGCTATTACACACGAGTTTCTGATTTACTAGAACCTCCAGAGGTTTGCAATTATAATGACTAAATAACCTCGCATATGTTTTGTGTTGATTCTCGGGACCAACTATAGTTTATTTTTTGACAGACTGAAACTCAAGGAGACAAATTGGCGGAGACCACTTTGTATTCATTGGAGTCGACAATATCTCAACGGAAAGCAGAATTAGAATTACCCCAAAATGGAAAACCTTCATGGACCAAACGATTACTACTAAACAGCGATTTGCTGTGCTCCAAAGTCAGGTACCATGTTGATGCACTGGTGTTTTCATTACAGTTGGAAATATGAGTGAATCTTTAATATCTAACAGCCACAAACAGATTCATTTAATCTTATGCCTCATGTCCACTGGTTTGCACATGCTATAAGATTTTCTGATGTGTATGTGTTTTCCATTTTAGGGAAGAGGCAGATGAGTTATGTCGAACACTCGAGGAGAATGAGGATAAATCCCGTACAGCCTCGGAGATGGCAGATGTGCTTTACCATGCCATGGTTCTGCTTGCACTCAAAGATGTAAAAATGGAAGATGTTCTACAAGTTCTAAGAAAGAGGTTCTCTCAATCGGGAATTGAGGAGAAGAAAATTCGCGTTTCACAAGGCTAAGCATGGACAGTTCATGGTTGTGTTCAATTGTTGTAATAATAGTGAGCTATGTATTGTACAATACTTAGTTCCATTTTGGATTTGGCTCTCCGTGTTCTAAAAAGTCAATGTTATGATGGCCATTTGCTTACTTATCATATATTTAAGATTTTTGCGAAAATTTAATAAAACCACCTCTTTTATCTGCATGAGAAGGAACAAATCCGAGTTGAACATATACGAAATACAGATTGAAATTCACATAACTAGTTTGGCTCTCGAACTTTATCATTTCCTCTGTTACAAAACCATTTCCTCTGTTACAAAATCATTAAAAATAGACAAAATGAGCATGTGGGGAGCACATGATATTTTTAATGAGGATAAATTTGGTAAAATTAATTTTCATTTCAACTTTGATCCCGGACAATAACTTAGGCCGTGTTTGGATTTGATCATGTTTTTATCTTTTACGTTTTTTGAGAAAGAAAAAATGAAACGTTTTTAAAACGGCGTTTGGCGGAATAAGGACAAAAAACGTAAATGAAAATGATTTTTTGGTTTAGTGTAAAATGAGAGGAAAATGAAAAATGACTTTTAGTCGTTTTTCACTTTTTGTTTTCGTTTTCTCCTCTCTCGGCAGAGAGAGAAAGAGCGACATTAATAAATTTTTTTATATTGAAAATAATATCTTGATAAAACTACAAAACGCATTTTTAAAAATGATTTCTGTCTGAGATTGAAAACGTTTTCATTTTCATTTTCATGCAAAAAACAAAATCCTTTTAGAATGAATTTCAAACACGCCCTAAGTGTCTCATTTTGTTTCTTAAAACTTTCAAATGCCACAATAATGGCTGTTGAGGTTTACAAATGTTTTATTTTTTTTCTCCTATTTGAATGTTTAATGTTATTTTTTCTCCCGATAAATTTTATACAACTTACAAAACGTCAATGAAACTTTAATGTTTCTTCTCTTGATAAATTTTATGCAACTTAATGAAAGATAACAACATATGTGTAAACAATTTATTGACTCTAACTCAATTATTGCGACATAAATGAAGTTCAGTTAGACTTTTTAATAGTTTGATCCGCTAATTTTGTATGGTTAATGCATTTTGTTTTTCTAGCGGATCAAATTATGAAATGTTAATATTAAATAGGGAGTTTAGTAGGATTAAAAAAAGAAATGAACTACTGATAGTTCTCTACTTTTCAACCGTCAAATTTATATCAGAAACTGTCTGTTCTGCATATTATATGATTTTAATCAAATTTAACAGATAAAAACTGGCCTTACCGATAAATAGGCCTACAGGAGAAAGTCCCCACTAAATATTCAAACATGGGACTGAAAGTGCAACATTTGAAATTTGAGGGGCAAAATAACACACCGAGTATTTCTTGGGGTCAAAGTTGAAATTAATCCTTAAGTAATTTTATCAAATTACCCTCATTAAAAGCATCACATGCACCTTATATGTTTATTCCATCCATTTTTTTAGGGGTTTTGACACTGACGGGTTGAAAATGCAATATTTGTAAAAGTTATGGGCGATTAATTTGACATTCAAAAGTTTAAGAGTAAGATGAGTTACAATTAGAATTTTTTGGGGGCCAAAAATAAATTTAACCCTTGAATATACTAACTAGGGCAAACTACAAAAGTTTCCTTCAATGCTTACTGGCAAAAATAAAAAAAATAAAAAAAAAACAAATATAACTCATTGTTAACTCAAATGCCGAATAAAAAAAAAAAAAAAAAAAAAAACAAATATAACTCATTGTTAACTCAAATGCCGAATAAAAAAAAAAAAAAAACAAAAACAAATATTACTCATTGTAATGCATAACTCAAATGCCGAACGGTTGCCTCCAATCAAGACAAGTACTTACGAGATCTCGTTCCTATACGGCTATACCCTAATTACCATGGTCACCAGATCCTAAAGTACTTGGCCGATATGTGGCCCCCCCACTACCACTGCAACTAACTTTAATCGTATGAAAATCCCATTTTTCATTTTGGGACGACATATTAGTCTCTTTACGACGTTTATCACTACAACATTCTACATCTTGTTGTCTTGATGATGTTGTAGACAAAGACAGAGAAAGCATTGTCTCAGTTTCTGCAGCTTTGTTTTCTTGACTATCATTTATCTCTGTGACACCGTCACAATTAATGTGACCCAAACTTAGCTGTAAATCTGGAAGCCATTTCTTTTCCTTCAAACTCTCTTGTGCTTCATGCTTTACTTCGCTGTTTGTGCACTGCTTTGCTCTTATCCCGTGAACCTGCATTAATAATTCAAATTCAAAACTACAATTTATAATTTTTCCCTTTTAGGTGACTGTATATATGGGATATATTATAACTGAAATTTGGATCTTATTGCATATGTGTAGTTTTATACAATTTTACATGAGTATTTCCTCAAGAATTCAGCTAGTGTTAAATGTATATATGCTTAATTGGGTCATTTACATTTTTGTCTGTGTATTATAACCAAGTCCTTTTTTATTCATTCAAATGTTAAAATCTCGAAAGAAAAATGTATGGCTTCATTTTTATTAATGGTTGCGTCTTAACATTTTAAAACTATAAAATTAATCGCTGCAATTAATCTCTATGAAATCATAAATTGTCCTCTTGGTATCTTTTTCCGTTAAGATTTTAACCATCGGATGAATGAAATGAAGTAACAATTTAGGACATTCTCATAATTCAGAGACTCATTTTGAGACTTTTCGAAAGTCAATAACCAACAGGATGTCCTATAGTCCGGGGATTGAAAATGGGACTAAGCCTACTTAATAAGAGGAGAGTCGAAAGACAAGGTTGTTATACGTACCTCAAGTTGAGACAAGGATGCCAAAAATGGATCGGTACATGTATTGAGCTGAAAAGGGTAATTGGTACTGGTAATATTGGCCTTGGTTTGTGCAAACATGTCAACATGATCATGTGCATTAACATTGTTATGGCCACGTGAAAAATTCATGAGCTGAGAAGTTCTTCTGCTTGTGATCCTATGATTTCCAATGATATTCTCTCGAGGAGGCCACTTCTTCTCCTCAAGAAATTGGCTGGGTCTAAGTGGTGGTACCGTTCTTGTTATAATTGCGTCCCTTAAATCAAATATTTGTGAGCTTGTTCTTTTGTTGATCCCCTTTTGGAGGATATTTACTGTGTCAATTACGTGGTCGCCTTTGTCTATACCAAAACCTTTGCTCCATAGAGGACTTGATGACCATGGAGGATGGTATCTAGAGAGACGAGAGAGATCAGGTCAGAGTTATATCCAAAGTCCAATTAAGAACTTATTGAGAATAGGAAAATGATCACTACTTCATTTGTTTGATATTCTTGAAGTTGATTTTTTTTTTTATGAATAAATTTAGCACATCTTAACTAGGTCGTTAATATCCATTAACAAGTCTCCTCCTATATATCAGAACCCTCACTCAATATTATTAATGTTTGTTTGGTTTGAGGGTTTAAACCATCCTAATTTTGGTTCAAATGGTATTTTCTCTTACAAAAAATTTAAATTTAAAAAGTTCTGTTACAGCGTTTTTTCTTACAAATTTAAATTCTAGTTCAAATCACCTAGTTTGCACACTCAAACCAAACAAGCACTAAATTATAAAAAAGAAAATTACAAGAAAGGTTGAAGTTGGTGATATTATACCTTGAAGGATTGGCATTGGAGTCACATGGATGTTTGGATAATGTTGGTGGGAAAAAGTGGCTTCGGCATTCCATTGCAAAGTTTCCTTTATAAAGATTATTGAAGCTGTGATACATTTGCATAATGTGGTCTTCTCTTTGCGTTGGCGTGTTTGTTTGAGATAAAACTGTTATAAAACATGCATGCATGCAATTTCCGTAAGCTTGTTTTCTTTCTTTAAAAATTCTGGCTGTTTTTGCGAAATAGTCAAGAATTATTACAATTAGGACTTTTTTAAAAAAAAAAAAAAAAAACTGATTTATAATTATATATTTAAAAAGTGAGCCATTGCAGTGCAGCCCTAAATAAAATCAAGCAAGATAACTTCATCTAACTAATTGTTATACAATTGGAACAAAATGATCAAAGTTCAACTAACTCACGGGGGAGTTAAAAGAAAATGTTTATTAACAAGGACTATTACTGATATTATTTGATTTAGATAAAGGAAACTACTGACTAATATGATTTCTTTCGTAATTATTTTTTCACTAGCTATACAATATACGATCAAGTAAGTAAGTACCCTAAGTAGCTGAAATATGTGAAAACGACAAAGTATTAATCATAGATTGATTAAATATTGTAATTAGTCAACTTAGCTACGCTAGTAATTAGTTTAACAAAAAAATTCAAATTGCACATGCTGAAGGTGTATTTAAATCTTATGCTTTTGTCTTCCCAGGAGTTGAAAAAAAAAGGGTAGTACAATTCCAAATGAAAGTTTTCATGAAATTAATTTGTATACCTTGTCCAGATTCATCAAGCTTCTTACTTCGATACATCTGAAATAATATTACAGACAATTAAAGAGAATGATCGATCAGAAAATCGGAGTTTATGTTCAACTTTACAATGAAATAGGAAGTATTTAAAATCAAGTAGAATTGCCGATCAAGTAGTTATCCCGGTGAACAAGTTTACCTGCAAATGACTCTTTACATGAGCAATGCTAAGCCCTTTCACATCCATCAGCTGTTGAACTAACTTTGGTGTTGCTCCTGTACAAGCAAATTATATCCAAAATTTACATCTTTAGCTAAATATTCATCATCAAACACAAAATATAACTGCATATACACCAATTTCCACTTAACTATATTGGAGCATGTCATGTTCACTACAATATACTTTGTAACATATACAAGAATTAGCTATACATAAATCAATAAATTAATGTGGGACTTATAAATAACAATGACATCATTAAAACTTACTTTCTTGTCCGCCGAGCCTTTCAACGGCATGAACAAAGGCTAGATGGAGATCAGGAGTCCAGCGAAGCCGCGGCATCTTTGATCGGACGTACGGCCTCACTGAACTAGTACTCTTAGTACCACTGTATAATACTTTCTCTTCCACATTTTTCTCCTTAAGATCCTCATCATGTAGAACACCATTATTGATGCTGGAATCGGCTTCTTCGGTGCCTGTTGCTTCTTCGTTTAAGTCGAATTTACGAGAATTGAGTAGAGAGGAGGCTTTGGCTTGAAAGTCACTTCCATCACTACTATTACCGTCATGATCTGTATATCTCTCAATCCTTCCCGCCATATATTACAACTTCCTTCACATACTATTACTTGTACATTTACTTGAGGCTTTCTAATCCTGTGTCACAGATATTTCATCCCTTCAGTAATCGGGTGAACTGGCTTGTAGACACGCCATGAAAGCATAAGAACTGAACGGAATCCCGCTCGAAGAACACAAAGAAAGAGGAATTGGTCCCGTTGAGCTCCTAATAATATATATAAGACCTGAAGAGCTGAACTACATATATATACACACACACACACATATATAGTATTATATATACAACTAATTAATACGTACTGATCAGGTCGAAATTCATAAACCATGTTGGGAAGAAATTATAAGTGACCTTATTGAGTTTTCTAAAAGATTAGAGCAACTATATGATTGAAGTTCATAATTTGTATTTTATATCTATCAATAGGGTGTTTTGTTCGAAAAGTTATTAGATTTAGTCAAAATTTTGTTTGTTCATCAAGCTATACAAGGTCTCTCTTGTCATTTCCGAGCCAAAAGCATATATCTTGCTCTGGAAAATTTCTTATTTCTAGGTTGTGGGAGTTGAGCCATATATCTATATATATATATATTATATACACACATAGACATAAACCCTAGAAGAAGATCGAAGAGAGGTTCAAAAATTTAAACCATAGCATGGAGAAGAGAAACAGGATCTACGTACGGCTAGGGTTTTCACTAATAACATGCTCGCATTATATACATATACATCACACTTTTCTGAAAAGAATCTGACTACGAAAGACAAATATATTACTGCTGATATTGTAGGATTAAAGCACTCAAAAGGAAACTTCACTTTTTTTTTTTCTTAATTTCCTAGTCCACGTTAATTTTGAATCTCATGATTAGCAAAAATAAATAAATAAATAAATAAGTAACCTCACGCATCTAGAATTTCATTTTTAATAAGCGTATTGAAGGATCTATCCATTTGTGACTAAATTTTGCTTCAAAACCTAGAAACCAAACAACTTTAGATCAGACCAAAAAAAAAAAAAGAATTTTCATGAAAAAACTTACCAGCTACCAGTTGATGATCAAGAACACTACTGATCAGTCTAGTCCTTTGCATATGTATAGATCTTCATGTAATTAATGTTTACACAGCTTATTAAACCATATAATTACGATCTTATCATATTTTCATGGGCTTCAAAGAGAGCTAGCAGAACAATATCAAAGTAGAGAGAGATGTTGGGTTAAAAAATTTAGGCTGCTTTTATTTTAAAAAGAAGTCTTTGGTTGGAATTTGTTGAAATTCCTAGACCTATTATCAAACTTAAATAATATTCTTCCACTTCAATTTGACATATAATATATATCTAATGCATATAATAGATATATATCAAGATATGGACAAGGAGACGATTGTCGGACACCCTTATTTCGATCTTGATCTATTTGCTCTAGAATATACATATATATATATATATACATATACATACACATATATTTATAATCACTGTTACTTTGAAAAAGAATCAATATGGCCACTCTCTTGGACTGGTAAAAATCATGTGACTTTTCGAGCCTTTCTTGTTCCGATTCTTCTTTGACAGGTTGTCCCGTCCATTTCTCCCTTTCTCTTGAATTACCTATCCGTGATAATCTTTATTGGTTGACCTCTGCTAGGTACTAAAATTGTCTGGTTGTTGCGGAATTATTTTATATATAATGTTACATCTAATAAGTTACTCTATATAATATTATATCTAAGTAGTTATTCTTTTAATTTAATATCTCGTTCTCTGTTGCTCTCTCTCTCTCTCGCACTGATCTCTCTCTCTCTCTCTCTCTCTCTCATATATGTTGAGCCTTCCAAGAAGTAGCCATAAATTGTTATCTAAGATTTTTAAGGTAGAAAGTAAATACAAATACATGTATAAGTGGGCGGTACGTAACCTCACAGAAATTATAGACATAGTCGCATCACATACATATATATATAGGTAAATTTTAAGTCTGGCTGCCGTACAGTCAGATAAATGTTCTTTTTTCATATGGACGTCTAACATTATTCATAAGGAAAAAAAAACTGAGATGGCAAAATGACACGCATATATATATATATATATATATATATCACAAAGGAATATTGCGTATGCCTTCTAAGGGTCACAGGCCTAAACAAAATTCCAAGTAGTACGGGACCTAATTTTTGTTACCGCTATTAAACGTGAGAAAATTAATGTAGAATATTCAGGTGACCATTTTCACTTTTCGGTACTACAATTAGCTAGTAAACATGTAATTCGTAAGGGAAATAAACTTAGAAGTCCTTATATATATATATATATATATAATCCCCCAAAAACAGTCCACATCCTTATAATTGATTGGTTACTTACATAGAATAAATTACTTATCCTATGTGATCTCGTTTTCTATTATTTACAAAATATGTCCGTAGAAAAAATATAACTAAATAATACTATTTCGGCATGTTATAAGATAATTGGATAGGTGAACCACTACCAACTGTTGTATGCATGGTAGAACCGCGGGGAACATTTTGGAATAATAATTGAGAGATTCCTCTAAATATGGACACTGAGATTCTCTTGGAAAACTTCAAGGAAACAAGACGGTTGTTCTTTGTGCAAATCAAGTCAGAAAAAGGGAATATATGGAGTAGACACGGCGACATATCGTTCTGCATTTTATATGTATAGACTCAGAAATGATGTGCTGCAGCTACTTGCAATTTGCATCGGATCCATCTTTAGTGACATAAGAACTGCTACCATATTCTTAATATATACAAAGCCTCTTGATCCATCATTTAGATCTCTTCGTATGATTTTGTCAATATATATACACACACACAAACGCACCTTAATTTGCAATACTATAAACACTTTAGTTTTACCTTTTTCATTGTTTGAAGTTTGGTAATATAAAATAGGAGAATTCTTTGTTAGGGTGAAAGAAAAGTAACGATCAATAGGTACCATCTGTCAAATTTTCATTAAGTTGTATTATATATATACACACACATATATATGTGCATATGTATTTGTATGTATGTATATTTAATGTGATATGAGTTTGTTTTAATCGAACGGTTTAGAATTGTATCTTAAAAGTACACAGAATTGTTTGTATCTTACAAGTACACAGAATTGTCCAATAAATTAACGGTAACATTCATTATCTTCTACTACTACTACCACCACCACCACCACCACCACCACTACTACTACTACTAATAATAATAATAATAATAATAATAATAATAATAATATAGGAAAACTTTATATTGAAATTTCAATTAATTAACTTATTTTCTTAAAGAATTAGTTAGATTACATCGATCATCTGGATGGCTATAATACCAAAGTTAATTAAAGACCAGTAGACCACCAACTTCATATATATTTATCATTTTCTTAGGGGATATGTACGTACCAAAATAATAGAGTTGGACATTATTTAATTGACTAGCACCCAAATATGAATAATATATCATGACTAAGCAGAGAGAGTTTTTCATTAGTTATTGGAAAAAAAAATCATTATTAAACTTTGATGAGAACTCTCCCAAGTATATAGAAATTAAGCCAGGTATATATACTTATTATATTATATGCATGTGTGTAGTTGTAATAGTTATTCAAATATTTATATATTGATGAGTACTATTATTCTAATTGTAAGATATTGATACGATGATTATAATAAATTAATAGTAAATTAAAAAAAATTATGACAATTAATAAAATTAAAATCTAATCACGCCAGTACAATAAATCTCTAAATTTAATGAATAACCATCATGAAAATATATGACCACTGAAAACTCGTCATATATTTATATATACTTTTACTATGGTTCTCCTTCTCATAGTATATAGAGAAGTGAGAATTGTAATATGGTATTTAAACATAAAACTAACATTAGAAAAATATTAACATAAAAAATATATTTTGAAAAAAAAAATCCTAATTTCTGACCAAGGGCGCCTAGGATGATTAGTGGCGGTGGGGTTAAGATCACATACATTCCGTGTACATATGAAGGCTAAAGAAGAGGAGACAATATGTAGTTGGAAAGGTGAAAAGTGGAAGAGAATTTTTGGGTCTTCTTGTAGAGAAGAGAAACAGATAATTAAGATCCATTCGATATTCTCTTGGATCATTTCGTTGTCTGTTTTCTCCATGTCTTTTCCTAAATGACCAAGAATTTACTTTCCAAGGCATCCTTCAAAGAGCTTAAATTTATTTTGTCATGACATAAGAGAGATGGTTTGTTTATTCTTTCGGGAAGAGAAAGGTCTCATTTAGGCATTATCTCTAATATATTTGGTTTGGGTAAAGGACACCCAAAAACTGACTAGATATATGTGCCATCTTTAGCTGCGTTTAATACGTAGCTAGCTGCTTTAAATTAGTGTTTGGTATGAGGAATCGTGTAATAATTCAAATTATGGTTCGTGACTCGCTACAGTGTTTTCTCTCATAAAAAATACACGTAAATCGAAAATAATTCTGCATAATGATTTTGAATCCGTGGATCAAACGTCCACTGAGAGAGAGAGACGCCCAAAAACTGACTAGATATATGTGCTATCTTTAGCTACATTGAATACCTAGCTAGCTGAGAGACTGAGAGAGAGAGAGACGCCCAAAAACTTAGAGAGAGAGAGAGAGAGAGAGATTTTAGCTATAGTAAGACAAATATTCGAAGGATTAAAGTAAGACAAATATTCGAAGGATTAAAGTAAGACTTCTAATGGGAAAGA